ACCTTTTTCAGCCTTAACACCCCTGGAGCAATCAACTGGACCTATCATATACCCAAAAATTTGTTTCATCTACATTTCATTTCCAGCATGTGATGATGTGAGATGCTCTCTCAATTCCAATCAAATTCTTCTCCTACACCAGTTGGCCACATCCCTGACCCCCTAGTCCCACATCCCAGGGGGTGAAAACAACCCAAGTTGGAAACCGGTGTGTTAGACCTTAGCATTAGTCATAATGTCAACATCAAAACAGCAATTCCAAATCAATTCCCCCCCCCCCCCCCACCCCCCCCCGCATTAAAAAATTTCTTGCTATGCCACTGATAATGCCACCAAGCGACGGCGTTCTCGTATTTAAATTTTCAGTCTAATTAAATCAGTGATATATTAGAAGTTGTACCTACTGACAACTGAAGTATGCTAGGTTTTATAACTAATAACAACTTGTCGCTTTTCACATGTACCCATCATTCATATCATAACAATATCTAATATACCATAACAACAGATACATCACAGGGACTCGAGTAATTAAATTTTTATTTAACAATGTTATATTCATTGTATAGAAATTAGACCAAAATGCGATTCTTTAAAAGCTAAAATATGGAGATGTGTCACTCTCTGAAAGTGGGAATATCGATTTTTAGTTAGCTATAACATATAGGAATAGATTTCAGGTGAGAAAATATAATCTCTAGGTTTTGCTACAAATTGTCATTTTTAAGACAGCCACAGTCCATGGCCTAACAATATTTGACTTATTATAAGAAATATAATAAGAAAATTATAAGAATATAGATGCTTGATTAAATTGATTTCTAATTGACAACGTTTTGAAATGTTACATTCATGTACAATATCTCATATCAAACAAATATTCCATATCACTTTTACCGCTAATACATTCAATATACCATTACAACAGATACAACACAAACCTTGTTTCACATAGACCCAAGTCAATGGAATTTATTATCACCGAGGATGAAACACGGCACTCGATGTCTGTTTTGAGCATTGGACCTCCAAGTAATCAAATGTAGGTTATGGCGTATTCAGGGGTATTCAGCTTAATTTGAAATAACGTTAATGGCCCAATGACGTACAATAGATATCGATATATTTCCTTAGTGGGTTTATTGACAGAAAATTGCCGACTAAAACGACATCAATCAACTAATAACACAATTACCTAATCGGCCCTAAATACTCCTTGACGTTAAATATACCCTTCCTAATAGCAAGATTTTCATTGTGAGGCTCAATAATTTCTCAAATTACCCCACACGCGGCTCAGACGATAATTCATCAGATTTAACTAGGTCACAAGCTAATCTCAGTAATCCCCCTTTATTTTATTAGGCGGTAATAAAATATCCTAGCGGATCAGACGTGTCACCAGGTGGCGCTAAGTGAAGACAATATCAAGGTCGTTGCTAAAAAATATGGCGCCTGAGGACTAATTGACGCCCTCTATCGTCGATGTATCAATTAGGACTTTAAACAGCTTCAAGATGGTGAAATTAAAACTACAAATTTGATAGATGATACACTAATCTTACATGTCTTTGTTGCGAAAAAGCTTTTTTTTAGAATCCATTCTAGAAGGGCTAGGGGGGGGGGGGACATTTGGAAAATAAAGGGCTCAAGTCCTGCATTTCATGCAATTCTTTCAGTATACTAACCTACTACATTTTTATAATGATAAATGGTAGCATATATCCATCCAAAAAACAAAAAGGAAGTTTGGGATTTGGAGCCGCCACTGCTAGCAAAACTACTAGGGTGGGGAATGATACGTTGATTTTTATTATTTGGGAATTTAAGTATCGGCCTATTATGTCTATTAGTTACCCTTTAAGATATCTGCCCCTTATTGGTATCCCCAGTCACTGGAGCCGCCGCTGAGTTGGTAAGACAATCTGTATCAATATTAGAATTGTATCAGGAAATTGGCTAAACGAACAATCGAACAGGTTTTATTCTATATCACGCTCTTTAGCACAAATCATATACAATTTATATTCAGATTCAGAAAGAAAATGATGTTTGAAATTTTATATTTTTCATCCGATTTCAGACAGTTTACAAACCTGTTTAGGATTGTGTATCGGCAACATGTATCAGTCAGTTGAAATAAAGAATATTTTTCAAGACATAAAAAATATAAAATCTCTCAAAGTTTCATTTCCTTTGTTAGTTAGCATACAAGTGCAGCTCCACCAAAGGTTTGATCCACCAGTCGTCAAAATTTCAAGAACATTGCCTTACTACCTTTCTTGCCATTGTTTATTAATAACTTATTGAGCAGGACGGTGAATTGACCCACCGCTGGTCGACACTATACACTACCAAGTCAATCAGGTTATGAAGATTTGGATGTACAATAAAAACAGGTACCCCACTGACAGGAAAATAGACATAATTGATTCTTCTTATTGGTTCAATTGAAAAGTTATTTTAGAATCAAAAAGCGTCTGATAGAGAATTAATACTCGAGAATAACCACTTCATATAAACTGTATAATCTATTTGATTCTTGTGACTTTAGTTAGGCTACGTCTTTGATATTTTACATATATCGTGTTTTTAGAGTCTATTGGATTTTAACGTATGAATCTTTCAACATGAAGTAAAGAGAGGCAGGTAATTCCACTACAGAATGGAGCGATTGGAGAGTAAAAGATGTCAAAAACATCTTCTGAATTGAGATAGGGCCTTATAATTTCAACAAAATTTTGATTAATTTTCAATAAAAAGTAATTTTACATGAACTGGTTTTCCTCATATTTATTTTCTTCGATCTACACTTTAAGTTAAGGTAATTTTACAGAAACGGGTTTAAGAATATTCATGGAAGAAAGGAATCCAAAATCTTTCTACGATTCCTTTTTACTGGGTTTCAGAGAAAAGCTTTTTGTACAGCTCTTTCTCTCAAATAATATGACTTCACCCTCTAATTCCTTTATTTGCTCTAATTTATAAAAAGGTAATTTTACACGAACGGGTTGTTCTAAACGTAGTATGTAATAAACCTAGAAGTAGTATATCTATATATATCTTGTGTTTTTAATGTTACCTGTATGTGTTTCTAAACGTAGTATGTAATAAAACTAGAAGTAGTATATCTATATATCTTGTGTTTTTAATGATACATGTATGTGTTTCTAAACGTAGTATGTAATAAACCTAGCAGTAGTATATCTATATATCTTGTGTTCTTAATGTTACCTGTATGTGTTTCTAAACGTAGTATGTAATAAACCTAGAAGTAGTATATCTATATATCTTGTGTTTTTAATGTTACCTGTATGTGTTTCTAAACGTAGTATGTAATAAACCTAGAAGTAGTATATCTATATATCTTGTGTTTTTAATGTTACCTGTATGTGTTTCTAAACGTAGTATGTAATAAACCTATAATATAATGTAATATTCATATATCTTGTGTCACATTTTGTCAATTATTTTTGTATGAATTGAAACATCAACTTCAAAATACAATACTGGGAGTTTAACTCTGTGTCTATAGGCCTACTATAAGCTTATAGACTTGACATTTTCTATCATCTTACAAATATTAAAATTTAAATTTCAACTGTATGTTTGAGGTCCATAGAAATATAAAGTTCGGTGATTTCCTGTAGAATAGACCCGCTTTTCGGGCTGAAATTACCCTCTTTAAAATCATATTTTCAAATTATATATAGTTTGGCATTTTCATTAACATGAAGGCAATCTAAGACTCTCGGTTGTATTTTGTAGTTGATATTTCAATTCTTTCGAAAATGACTGGCAAAGTTCGATTCTGTGAAAACAGAGGGTAGATATTATTATTTTGTATTAATGTACTCACTGCTCTCCGACGTTTCGATTTTCGTTTTGGTGTTGACATCTCTGTAGGAAAATAGGCTAAAAAATCGAAGCTGTTCAAAATGTCTGACGAACGTATTGTAAATTAAAAAGTCCTATCGAAATTTTCACTCGAGGCAGAAGTAGAAAGGAGGGGAATAAAGCTCTCTATGAGTAAAGGGCGGTAAATCTTGTTTTGACACAAACTTCAGACCACAACTAAAAACTACATACAATAACAATATCCTGTTCGCTATGTTCGTTGAATCGCAATTCCATCAGAATCTTTTTGAAAAATTGAACCTGAAGACCAGTAGCTACGTGCTTCATGAGCATAATATTACGTACGGATGTTTGTACAAATTGAACTGGTCCCGTATCCCTCCCTTATTGACGACAACCGGCTCTTTACCTTTTACCTATAAACAATTGTTGAATCTTTTGAATACCTTTAATTTATTTCAAGCTGCGTTACCTTTCAGAATTAAAAGCCAGCGTCGAGTTTGTCTGCAATTACATAAAACAATTGTGTATTAGCACACAGGGTCAGGAAGGATATCATTTAAACTGTCGTTACTTCCGTATACTTCAAGTGATTCCTTTTCATTTAATTGACGACGAACATGACACATGATGGTCGCTTTATGTTCACCACGGGAAACTGGGTGGTTGGTTGTTTTAAAAGAAAGAAATCATTCCAATGAAAGACTTTATTTATATTCCCATAATTATAATAGCATAGGGTCTGGAATAAAATCATATTTACAATTTCATTATAATTTAATCGGTCTATATTTCAAATGTGATGTTTGAATATCTACAACTTTATTTAACCACAGTGTTTGAATCAGTCAGACCACTGTCACATTCCCCTCCGATAACTTCCTTTGGTTCGAGATTTAGCCCTTGATTAATTAGATTTATTGAAGTCTGGTGTTTCCAGGTAGAGATATATGGATGACTTGCTATTCAACAAAAATTTGTTCGGGTGAATTTCGTGTTACTTGGATTTGGAGCACACGTCAATGTTCAGCTGTAAATATTTCGTACTATTATTTTCTATGGGGTATTTCACTCATTCTCTGTGAGTTAGTCACTAGCGGACTGTCTGTGTTTATGCTTTTCACCGCCAAAAGTTTTTACATCTACATATTTTTAGTAAAACATTTGTTGTTGTCATTACAATCAAACCTATCCCCTGCTGGAACTTGTTTAGTTAAAATACAATTGAGCGTGCTTGGTTTGTACACAATATCGGTGCAGTCTGGACGACGAAGACAACGTAAAATACAATATCTAATGTTGACTACACTGATCGAGTCCATATTGATGACATTTTCTAAAACGTCAACTCGCGTGAACATTGAATGACCGGATAAAACTGCAAAAAGATAAAATGAATGTTAACATAGGGATGAATACAAAGCGAGGCTCGGGCTTAAAACGACATTTTACCTGAGCCCAAATTGAGTCTGAATAAACGTTTACGGATCTGAAAGGCCATTTCAAGCTCGAAATGGGTAAATATGTACCTGGAGTATCTCGGCTGTTTGCCATTATTAGAACAACGTTAAAACACACGATCGTTAAAACTTGCATCCATAATCATTTTTAAGGGATAAACCGGTTTATTTTCAACGTACAGAATTACGCTGGCCACTGAGGAATCGTTTAAAACATCAAATTTGAAGTTTCCTATTATAATTGATACTAGGCTGGTGTTTTCTAGTGAATGGTTTTTTTAGCGTCTGGGAAAGGAATACGGACATGCGCAGAAAGTTTTGTTTACAAATGGCGACGAATTTTCGATCAGAAATATAAAAAATAACTTTCTTTGTGTGCTTCTTCTTATTTTATCGATTGTGACATAACGCTTGGATTTTCAAGTTGAAAGTTTCACGAAAGGTAAGGAGCATCTTCCTGTACGCGTTGGCATAAACAATTATGCATTTCACGATCAAGCCCACAAAAACTCATTGAACAAACCGGTTTAGCCCTTTAATCTCTATATTTTCTATGATTTTGTGTTCCAGTCATCTGATTGGTCAATAACTAGAATTGATTTTAAAGAGGTTATCTTAATTTTTTCATTGACAGGGACATTGAAAGCATCAATTTACACCATTCCAATTTTCAATCAGACATCTATGGCTCCTCCAATTCCACAAAAAGAAGAGTTTGATGACGTCACTAATCGCAAATTATGCTTTATCACACGAGGACCTTCACGATTAGTGACGTCATCAAACAATTTGTTGTGGAATTGCAAGGACCACAGATGTCTCATTGAAAATTTGAATGTTGCAAATTGATGCTATCAGATTCCCCGATACACATAACATTTTAAAAAAAACTATTTACAATTCCTTTAAGTTTTCGAGAATAAAACTACTGGCAATATTGTCACGAGCTGACAAGATAGAACTTAGAATGAGAAAGCCATAACGTACCAGGTTGCTGCTCTGCTGGTGTTGTAGTCGTTGTTGACGGGTCTGCTGGTGTTGTAGACGTTGTTGCCGAGTCTGCTGGTGTTGTAGACGTTGTTGACGGGTATGCTCTTGTTGTAGACGTTGTTGCCGTGTCTGCTGGTGTTATAGACGTTGTTGACGGGTCTGCTGGTGTTGTAGACGTTGTTACCGGGTCTGCTGGTGTTGTAGACGTTGTTGACGGGTCTGCTGGTGTTGTAGACGTTGTTGCCGAGTCTGCTGGAGTTGTAGACGTTGTTGACGGTTCTGCTGGTGTTGTAGACGTTGTTGCCGAGTCTGCTGGAGTTGTAGACGTTGTTGACGGGTATGCTCTTGTTGTAGACGTTGTTGCCGAGTCTGCTGGTGTTATAGACGTTGTTGACGGGTCTGCTGGTGTTGTAGACGTTGTTGACGGGTCTGCTGGTGTTGTAGACGTTGTTGACGGGTCTGCTGGTGTTGAAGACGTTGTTACCGGGTCTGCTGGTGTTGTAGACGTTGTTGACGGGTCTACTCTTGTTGTAGACGTTGTTGCCGAGTCTGCTGGTGTTATAGACGTTGTTGACGGGTCTGCTGGTGATATAGACGTTGTTGACGGGTCTACTCTTGTTGTAGACGTTGTTGCCGAGTCTGCTGGTGTTATAGACGTTGTTGACGGGTCTGCTGGTGATGTAGACGTTGTTGACGGGTCTGCTGGTGTTGTAGACGTTGTAGACGTTGTTGACGGGTCTGCTGGTGTTGTAGACGTTGTTGACGGGTCTGCTCTTGTTGTAGACGCTGTTGCCGAGTCTGCTAGTGTTGTAGGCGCTGTTGCCGGGTCTGCTGGTGTTGTCTCTGTAAAAAACAAGATGAAAGGATCAACTACACATTAAACTGTCGTATTCCGAGACAGTATCTGGCATAATTATCTTCATTCACCAAGGCCGTAACGGTCGGTCGAGAGCTTTCATAGATCTCGAGATGGCGATAATGTTTTATGATAATCGATTTTCGTAAGGTCCAAAACGACCGGTCCTTTTTTATTTGAGATACCAGAACCCCGTGACCACGTGACTATCGAGACAAAGTGATAAACAATGACTGCCTTTAAGCACCGTGTCATATCACACAGTCATCGTGACACTGTTATAATATACTGTTAGCCTTAATGTCTGTTGGACTATAGGAGTTTAATCGACTTCCCCTTCAATCTCCTGGACACTTAAATCTGTGGCTAGGTTCAAATTCGGATAAACAGTAAGCAATAGCAAAACTTTTACAACAGTTGTAGAGCTATATAGAAATACCACTGTTAAAATAGTGTCCAATACATCAATTGTAGAGAGATATAGAAATACCACTGTTAAAATATTGCTCAATACATCAATTGTAGAGCTATATAGAAATACCACTGTTAAAATAGTGTCCAATACATCAATTGTAGAGTGATATAGAAATACCACTGTTTAAATAGTGCTCAATACTTCAATTGTAGAGTGATATAGAAATACCACTGTTAAAATAGTGCCAAATATATTAATTATAGAGCGATATAGAAATACCACTGTTTAAATAGTGCTCAATACATCAATTGTAGAACAATATAGAAATACCACTGTTAAAATAGTGCCAAATATAATAATTGTAGAGCGATATAGAAATACTACTGTTAAAATAGTGCTCAATACATCAATTGAAGAGTGATATAGAAATATCACTGTTAAAATAGTGCTCAATACATCAATTGTAGAGTGATATATAAATACCACTGTTAAAATAGTTCTCAGTACTTCAATTGTAGAGCGATATAGAAATACCACTGTTAAAATAGTGCTCAATACATCAATTGTAGAGTGATGTAGAAATACCACTGTTAAAATAGTTCTCAGTACTTCAATTGTAGAGCGATATATAAATACTACTGTTAAAATAGT